GGGAGAGTGGAGGACAGGGAGGGAGAGTGGAGGACAGGGAGGGAGAGTGGAGGACAGGGAGGGAGAGTGGAGGACAGGGAGGGAGAGTGGAGGACAGGGAGGGAGAGTGGGGGACAGGGAGGGAGAGTGGAGGACAGGGAGGGAGAGTGGAGGACAGGGAGGGAGAGTGGAGGACAGGCAGGGAGAGTGGAGGACAGGGAGGAGTGGAGGACAGGGAGGGAGAGTGGAGGACAGGGAGGGAGAGTGGAGGACAGGGAGGGAGAGTGGAGGACAGGGAGGGAGAGTGGAGGACAGGGAGGGAGAGTGGAGGACAGGGAGGGAGAGTGGAGGACAGGAGGGAGAGTGGAGGACAGGGAGGGAGAGTGGAGGACATGGAGGGAGAGTGGAGGACAGGGAGGGAGAGTGGAGGACAGGGAGGGAGGTGGAGACAGGGAGGGAGAGTGGAGGACAGGGAGGGAGAGTGGAGGACAGGAGGGAGAGTGGAGGACAGGGAGGGAGAGTGGAGGACAGGGAGGGAGAGTGGAGGTGAGCAGTAGCAGTAACTATAGACAAATATTTATCTTTCTAAAGTGATTATTAACAGTAAATATGGAAAGCTCTACTGTTGTCTGAATCTAATAGTTGTTCCTCCTGCTCCTGCTCTGTCTGGTTCAATTATGTCAGGGGTGACTTTCTCCTGGTCTTGTCAAGGTCGACTAGTTTTTATTTCGTGAGACCATATGAGGAAGGAGGAGGAGGAGGCAGAGGAGGAGGAGGAGGAGGTGGAGGAGGAGGAGGCAGAGGAGGAGGCAGAGGAGGAGGAGCAGCAGCAGCAGCAGGAAGAGGGAGAAAAGGAAAATACTCTGTGGAAGTCGCACTTACCTGACTGTGCTGGTAATAGTTTATTTGTTGTAAGTCGTTGTTTATTGTTTGTAGAAAGCATTTCCATATGCGAGTCATCTCAGTTAAGTTCCACTCTGTAACTGTCTGTTTTCTTTCCATTGTAACTTCTTTGTGTCTAATTCTTTATTTTCTGTCTCTAGAGTGTGATACGTTGTTTCCTGTATTTCCAAAGTGTTAACCTAACTGATTCTATATGGCTGAGTATTTATGACGTTAACAATTTCATTGGAGTGATTGACAGCATTCTTCAACAGTGAAAAAAAAAAATTGCCTATATTAGCCCTTCATACTTAAGTATATCGTATATGTTTAGAATCTTGAAAGTTTTGATGAAATTACTTCATGGTGAGCATTTTCTTGGAGAGAACTTATTTAGTGCTTGAGGATTTTTCTCATCGTATTTGTTTATTGACCTTGTTGAACTGTGAGTTGATTTCACATGTTTCTCTCTCGACAGATTTTTGGACTGCCGTTGGTGAACCACTACTTGGAACATCTCGAAACCGAGTGGTTTGTCTCTATCATTCCCTCTTGAGCTGACAACCTATTCATCATGACTCCCAGACGTTTCAACGTTCCTGCTCTCCAACACAAGCTCAACCATGTCGAGCCCTCAATCCAATTTACGCTAGAAGTCGACGATATTCTTCATTTCCTTTATGTTCTTTTCTGTAAAGCTGACCGTGAGCTTCACTGTAAAGTCTACCGAAAAACACGACCAAACATCACGATCTTCACTTTCACTCACATCACGATAACACGATACTAAGACTAAACGCAGCGTAATCATAGACTTCTTCCTGCGTACCCTCCTAGTCTGCAGTAGTGAATTCCTTGAGGAAGATTGCTCTTTCATCCAACAAGTATTTTCTAAGATTCATCATCCCCATCACTTCATCAGGAACTGTAGACGTCATGCACATAACGCCATCAACTCACCCAGACATGATACTGTGGATTATTATTATTATAATCAAGGGGGAAGCGCTAAACCCAGAGGATTATACTGCGCCTGGGGGGGGGGAGATGTGGAAGGCATTCAGGCTTAATTCAGGAAATTGGAGCACAGATCCAATTCCCTAAATCAAGAGCCCCTCACCAATATCAAGGAACCTTCCTTGAGGGGATGATACTGTGGAGAGAAGGTGGATACATAGTCCTCCCTACTAACTCCATTGTCAAACACGTTTCTAACATTCCATCGCCGTATTCCAAGTATCTACCACAGCATCCACTAGAAAGACATTACCAGTATGGGATACCGGGTTTAATCCTCTACAGGGGTATACATAATTCCATTCAACGATTGCAACCAAATATACGTGAGCGAAACATCCAGACACCAGCGTGCCAGTAGAATGGACAACTTACATGCCTGAGTTTTACACCGAAATTCCACAACTGTTTAATTAACTTCAGAGACGCAAGGCTTTTCACCAAGGAAGAGGACACCTAAAAATGCAGGATCTTGGTATCATCACTCATCTGTATATCTAACAATTTCAACCAAAACAACGGCTTCTACAACACAACTGACCCTCTTCCCAGGAAACTTCATCGTTATCCTGCATAGCAACAGGTCACAGCATTAGAGAAATATAGCAGCAGGCCTGCTGGCCCACACTTGGTTGGTCTTTTTCAAATTCAACCTCATATCAGCCGTCAACTTAAACATTCCCCTCGCCCGAACTTTCATATTTTACATTATAATATATTAATATGTAAATGTCCACACTGATTTTTATCTCCCCACTTCCCCTGCCACTATGGTAGCCTATTTAGGTAAGAAAATGATATACAATACCGACAAGTTGATGAGGAAGACATGTGCAACAGTTGGGTATCTTTATTATTGAAACGCTTCGCCTACACAGTAGGCTTCTTCAGTCAAATAAGTGTAGTGTAGCTCCATGGTCTGGAACGACCATGCTAGGCCCATGCCTAGCATGGGCCAATAGGCCTGCTGCAGTGCTCCTTCTTGAGTGGGTCTGTCTTAGACATGCCTAGCATGGGCGAGTAGCCATGTTTCAATGTTCCTTCTTTCTTATGTAACCTTCTCATTACCTTCGCCACTCAGACACATCACTACTCAAACAACTGATTACAGCTATGAAGCTTCATGTTACTTAGCAATACATTGTAATACATTGTGGAATACCTACTGTAAGTCGAGGCACATAATATCATTGGGATTTTATTCGATTTTTTTTGTAACTGTAGTTGATTATTGGCTTATAGAGTAATAGGTAAAAGGACACAAGTTCTTTGTCAAGAAGTTACAAACAATACAGGGACAGAGGTATAAATAGGTACAAAGTCAGGTGCAAAACAATGTAATCACTGTAGGTAGTAGTCCTTGTAGTGGTAGTAGTATTAGTAGTAGTAGTACTTGTTGTGGTAGTAGTTGTATTAGTTGTAGTGGTAGCAGTGCCGAATTTAGGTGGTGGGGGGTCCGGGACTCAGTTTAATGGGGAGCACAGGACCCAGTTTGGTGGGGGGCCCCTTGCATTATGAAGGTTTAACTCTAATGGTTAGAAGACTTTGGTTGGAAAACTTTCACCACTCTCAATATGTGTCCCATCCTCTTAAGATGAAGAAATGAAACAATTAAATTTATAGTGTAATTTAGCACCCTTTCAGTTCATTTACAAGTGTAACTCAAATGTAATGTACAAACATTTGAGGAGTTATCTTCAATCAGATCAAATTCAAAATCTTGCATACATTTTCTCTTTTCGCGATCTATTCAAGTCTCAGTTTAATGTGGCATAATATTTTTCATCATTTGGTGGAGGGCCCCTCCCCTAAATTCGGCCCTGGATGGTAGGGCTTATTGCTTTGAGGAGAATTCTTGCCAGTACTTCAGAGATGATGAAGCTGTCTTTATTCTGTTTAAATGTGTTAGAAATAGCGATTAATGATGATTCAGGGAAACTGGGTTCTTTGATCACTAGGCAGGCATCGTTAAATTTCATCAGGTGGTTGGGGGAATTCTGGTGTTGTACACAGGCATTGTTCAAGTTGTCGCACCTAAACGCATTTGTGCTCACCGAGATGTGTTTCAAGGTTTCTTGCTGTTTCACCTACGTATATTCTGTCACAACCTCCACATGGGAATAGTATAAACTCCTGCATTGATTGGATCAATGTTTTTAAGATTCCTTCTAGTCAGATGTGGCATGCAAAGAGTAAGTTACACTTTTCTCGGTGTATGTCACACTCCCATATAGGCTGCCTTCCAACCAGCGAACCGGGTGCTAAGGGTTTAACGATCAATAGAGTTACTCATCGTTAAATTGGTACCTTCGTTCATTGGCGAATCACAAGCAAGCCTGACAAAGCTGAAGCAACATGGTTCACTTGTGCCAAGTGAATTGACAGACTTGCCTACCTGCTGGTTGAGCACGGTGCACAGTCTCTGGCTTCTGCTTTGCCATCTGTTACCGTGATGTACACTTACCATTTCTATCTGTACATATTGTACATACCTATAGATATCTGGTGAAGGCATATATACATTACAGTCTACTGCTGAGTTTTCTTCCTCTCCATATTCTCATTACGACCAGGTTTCACAGACCATTCTTAACTGTGTTCGTAATATCAGATCTTTTACAGAAGTACTGGTTACAATTGCGACTAGCGTTAGCTTGTGCGAATACTTTAGAGATATTCATTGCAACCTGGCTGTAGGGAAGGATTATAACTTTGTTAGGACTGGTGTTAGTGTATGGAGAACTGGTAATTTGAAGGGCTATTTTCTTACAGTGTTTGATGAAAAAGGATGGGAAATGTAGATCAGTGAAGGGTTGGTGTATCTGTGTACACTTCTCGTCAAGAAACTCTGGACAGCAAATTCGGTATGCTCTTAGGAAAAATCCAAATGATTATGCCTCTTAGTCTTGGTATCTTGACTGGAATAAAATTGTGTGAGATCGCTTTTGCTTGTAGGCTTCCTGTAAACTTGAAAACTTAGTATTATCTAATTTGTGAATGAGGACGTTAATAAAAGGTAACTTGTTATTGGACACTTCATCAAGTGTAACTGGATAGCCGGTTCATCTGCGTTGAGCCTTCCCTGATGATTCTGCACATCAAAACGTTTGGGAATTATTAAGATGGCGTCGTTCACGTAACGTAACCAAGTGACGCTGGTGGGAATGATGGAAAAATGTTCTGCTTCCAGGTGTTCCATATACGTACTATGAGTTGGCTAAGGCAGCGCTGTTGGGGGACCCCATTCCCATACCATAAGTTTGTTTGTAAAGCCTGTTATTGAAAGAAAAGAAATTGTAATAAATGCAGAGTTCAATCATGTGAACGAAATCTCCGGGAAGTGGAGGAATATTTAGGTCCTGATTAACTTTACGTCAGAGAACGTCAGTGGCTTATGGTGGGTACCTTAGTGAATAGGAAAATTACATGCAAACTACATAGTTTCTTGTTTTGGATGGAGAGGTCTGTGATGCAGTTGACGAGGTCGCATGAATGCTTTAGATGGGCGGGGCTGATGGTCCCCATAAGGCAGGAAAGATGTTTGGCAAGAACTCCAGCTAATTATAATATTATATTTATGGATTTTAGGTAGTTCATGCATGTTTGCAGGTTTAAGGTTGCTGGGTATCAAGTGGTCCATCATTTTGGTGTTATAGTCGCTGGTGTTGAGTACGACGACTCCACTTCCTTAGGGTCATTGGTGAGGTTAAGGGCAGTTATATACCCTCTGGGAAGATTCGTAGAAAGTTAACATAAGGTTTCAGTGAGAATGACTTGTATATAACCTTTTTGAAAGTTATTGCCACTGTGTCCGTGGGTTCTGGTGACTAAATCCAGTTGGTAGTTTGGTTTGTATTGTTATTGGTAAATTTGAGTCCTAGAATTAGCTCTTGTTTCTTCATTCAATTCAAGTTTATTCTCTATAAGGGTTACAAAGTGGGGTTTACAGGTTTTGGGTATTGTGTGGTTCACATGTTATAAAATACTAATTACAGAGGGGGCCACTAGTACACCTAGCATGGCTAGGCATTTCGGGCAGACTTAGATTAATTCATATTTAAGGTGCGTGTCAATAGGTTGTTAATCAAGGATTCTCGGCTCATTTCCTTCCATCGGCTGTTAGAGAAGAGGTACTGAAATTTGCAGTTGAGTTTAATCTTCCGTGAAGATGTAATGGCCCTCTCAAGACCCTCAGTAATTGAAAGGACCGACTCCTACTCATGAAATCATAGAAAAATAATTTATAATGGGATAAGAAACAGTTTTATTAATAAGCAAAACTTCTATAAAATATAAAACAAATATTAAATAATCCTATCTGAAGCAAATTATGAAAAATAAACTGTTGTCCAGAGGGCTGAGGAAGGGTTGTTGAGGTGGTTCGGACATGTACAGAGAATGGAGCGAAACAGAATGACTTCAAGAGTATATCAGTCTGTAGTGGAAGGAAGGCGGGGTAGGGGACGGCCTAGGAAAGGTTGGAGGGAGGGGGTAAAGGAGGTTTTGTGTGCGAGGGGCTTGGACTTCCAGCGGGCATGCGTGAGCGTGTTTGATAGGAGTGAATGGAGACAAATGAATAATACTTGACGTGCTGTTGGAGTGTGAGCAAAGTAACATTTATGAAGGGATTCAGGGAAACCGGCAAACCGGACTTGAGTCCTGGAGATGGGAAGTACAGTGTCTGCACTCTGAAGGAGGGGTGTTAATGTTGCAGTTTAAAAAACTGTAGTGTAAAGCACCCTTCTGGCAAGACAGTGATGGAGTGAATGATGGTGAAAGTTTTTCTTTTTCGGGCCACCCTTGCTCTGAAGGCTGGTGCCTGACTGTTCAAGAAGATGGATACCTGTAAAGAATTAATTCAGTGGTGACGTGTACTTAGCTCAGTGGTGACGTGCATTTATCTACATTGAACTGCATCTGCCACTTTTCTGACCAAGAGTAGAGTTTGTCTAAATCCTCCTGAAGTTCCCTAACATCTACGTTTGAATCAATTATCCTACCTATCTTCGTGTCATCGGCGAATTTGCTCATATCACTAGTAATTCCTTCATCAAGATCATTGATATATATTATAAACAACAACGGGCCCAAGATTGATCCCTGTGGAACGCCACTTGTTACTGATCCCCACTCGGATTTAACCCCATTTATGGACACTCTCTACTTCCTGTCTGTGAGCCATGATTCGATCCACGAGAGCACCCTTCCCCCAATGCCATGAGCTGCTACTTTCTTCAACAGTCTTTGGTGCGGAACTCTATCAAATGCCTTACTAAAATCTAAGTAAATAATATCAAATTCTTTATCGTGGTCAACAGCCTCAAAAGCTTTACTGAAGAAAGTTAATAAATTAGTTAGACAAGACCGGCCTCTTGTGAATCCATGCTGAGTTTCATTAATCAAGCTATGCTTATCGAGATGGCTTCTTATAATCTCAGCTATAATTGACTCTAGTAATGTGCCTACAATTGAGGTCAGGCTTATTGGGCGGTAATTTGACGGTAACGACTTGTCCCCTGTTTTAAAAATAGGAATTACATTAGCCATCTTCCACATATCAGACACTACACCTGTTTGAAGAGACAAATTAAAAATATTAGTTAATGGTTCACAGACTTCCATTTTGCATTCCTTTAGAACCCTTGAAAAAAACTCATCAGGACCCGGTGACTTATTTTGCTTCAGTCGGTCTATCTGCTTCACAACCATTTCACTAGTGACTGTGATGTTACATAATTTATCTTCTTCTGGCCCACTATAAAAATTAATTACCGGAATATTATTAGTGTCTTCCTGTGTAAAAACCGAAAGAAAATAATTATTTAAAATCGAGCACATTTCATTCTCCTTGTCAGTAAGATGCCCATAGTTATTTTTAAGGGGACCTATCTTATCTCTGACTTTTGTTCTATATACCTGGAAAAAACTTTTTGGGTTAGTTTTAGAATCCCTAGCAACTTTAATTTCATAGTCCCTTTTAGCTTTTCTTATCCCCTTTTTAATGTCCCTCTTAATGTCAATATACTGATTCATAAGATGACCCTCGCCTCTTTTGATACGCCTATAAATTCCTTTCTTATGCCCTAGTAGATATTTCAGCCTATTATTCATCCATTTTGGGTCATTTTTATTTGATCTAATTTCTTTATAAGGGATAAACGTTCTTTGAGCAGCATGTATTGTGTTCAGAAAACTGTCATACTGAGAGCGAACCGTATCTACTCCGCCCTCAACAATGCTGGAATCGACCACGAAGCACTGAGGAACAGGTTTAATCAGCTTGCTGGAGACGGTTCCCCCCTCTAGCACTACCATCAAGACAAGTTTCCCCAGCACTTTGCTGCCTGCTAAAGCTGGGGTTTGGCTCCAATGGGACCCTGTTTTCTGCCTCTGCCCAACTGTGACGCTGAAGATCCCAAGCAAGAAGACACTCCCCACTTGGGAAGTCAATGCAAGATAGAAGAAGAAGTTACCCTCCAACCGGGGGGCCCAAGAGAGAAGATAGAAGAATAAAGAAGACGAACGACACCCCGCCCCGGGGGCCACCCCCGGGTCACCATCTGGAGAAGACCCGGGCCGGAATTACCGGCAAATCTCTAATGAATGAATGAATAGGCAGAAGGCCTTTGAAAGAAATGCTGTTGACAAAGAATTACGTTAAAATACGTAGATGAAGTCAGGCCCGGGTTAAATCAAAACCCCAACCCAATTAACAAAAAACAAGAGAGGAGCTCCTATGTAAACTAAAATTAACTAAAAAAAAAAAAACCACTAAAAAACCCAACCATAAACAAGAGTGTAACTCAGTACTTACAGATTTGATGAGAGCAGAAAGCCAAGTAACGATGATTCGTCAGGAAGGTCCTTTGTTAATTAACTTCCACCTGGTGGAAAAAACGGTGAGAGGGATAGAGGCAACGATTTGTAGATGAATGGTTCAGAGAACCGACATGTTGATAAATTAGACACATGTGCAACTCTTGGGTATCTTTATTGAGGAAACGTTTCGCCACACAGTGGCTTCATCAGTCCATACAAAGGAGAATCTTGAAGAACAGGAGGAGAATGAGGTAATCAGTCCCTCAACCTTGAGTCGATGTGGTCAGTCCATTCTATTCAAGATTGATGGACTGACCACATCGACTCAAGGTTGAGGGACTGATTACCTCATTCTCCTCCTGTTCTTCAAGATTCTCCTTTGTATGGACTGATGAAGCCACTGTGTGGCGAAACGTTTCCTCAATAAAGATACCCAAGAGTTGCACATGTGTCTAATTTATCCACAGAGGCAACGATACACACCCCTTTCAGAACAAGCATTCAACCACTTATACTACCACCACTCATTCATGCTTCCACTCTTATCTAATAAACTTTTCCCTCACACTTCTGTTGGAGGTTGGCTGTGCTGAGAATGTGCACAGCAGTGTGGTCAATCTACAGATGGCCCTCACATTTCTTGCGGTTTCAAATGTTTCCTTAGCGATGTCTGAAAACTCTTCAGCGCATTCTGCCAAGTAAGCTTGGGATGCTGGAGGGACACCTGAAGAAGATTCCAATGACAAGTTACCTTTTCCAGACATCCTCATTCATAATGTAGATAATACTCTAATGTTTCAAGTTTACGGGAAGCCTACAAACAAAAACGATCTCACAAACTTCTATTCCAGTCAAGATACTAAGATCAAAAGAGGCATCATTATTGGATTTTTCCTAAGAGCATACCGAATTTGCAGTCCAGAATTTCTTGACGATTAGTGTACATACATACAAACACCAAACTTTCACCGATCTACATTTCTCTTCCTTCATCATCAAAGACTGTAAGAAAAGAGCCCTTCAGGTCATCAGTTCTCCACGCACTAACATTAGTCCTAATAAATTTATAATCCTTCCCTACAGCCAGGTTGCACTGAACGTCTCTAAAGTACTCGCACAAGCTAACACTAGAGTCGCATTTGCAACCAGTACTTCCATAAAAGATCTGACTAGGAGGAAACTTAATAACATTGATCCAGTCAACGTAGGGGTTTATACTTCTTCCCCGTGGAGGTTGTGACAGAATATAAATAGGTGAAACAGCAAGAAATCTTGAAACATGTCTCAGTGAACACAAATGAGTGAAGAAACGACGACTTGAACAATGCCTACGTACAACACCGGAATTCCGCCAATCACCTGATAAAATTTAACGACGCTACCTAGTGGCCAAATAACCCAATTTCCGTAGACGTAAGTGCCTTGAATCATCATTAATCGCTATTTCTAACACAAATAAAGGCAGCTTCATTATGTCTGATGTATTGGCAAGAATTCTCCTCAAAGCAATAAACCCCACCATCACATAGCTGATACTATATCAGGTACAAGATACTATATCAGATATGATATTGTCTACCATCTTCCATCAGACATTAAGAAAGTTGAAATCTCCAAGAAATTTAATATTTAGTGTAGGATTTCCAAGACTTTCTTAGCAGCTATCTCTTCCTTATTTATTCCATGTTTCGTATATGTTTGTTAAAGACAGTTTGTATACAAAGTAGTTTATATTCCAAGGATTCATTTATTCGAAATAAAGTTTTTTTTTCGTTTTTTTTTTCTAGCGCCACTCGTACCTTCTAATACGAGGTCACTTTGACGATTGATGCTATTGTTGGAAAATGATATTGATTTTATTTTCATAACATTATCTGATCCACAAACGGATTTCCCCATTGCCACTGCTGCTGACATCACTAGTTTATGCTTGATGTTATGAGGAATTCTGCATCATGCAATACTCGACGTCACTTCGAGGCTCATGATGGAGCGTTTCATCAGAAACAGAACTCGAGGTAGAATTGATCAGACTTCGCTTTACTTCTTCATCTCTCTCTCTCCAGTAACTCAGTAAGTTTTCTTCGAAATTTTGAAGAAATGAATGCAAATAAAGCTTCATTTTTTTCTGCACTGATTCGCTGGCAAGGGTTTGCAGACAGGAAGACAATGGAGTCAGACTCCCAGTTCGTGCTCTCACCTCAATGAAACTACATTTCAAATACTCAAGCTTAGACCATACTTTACAATGGGCCATTTATTTCAGTTAAACTTCAAAACTGGAAAGAAAAAAGTTTTAAATGGATTGATAACTTAAAAAACTACATTTGTACTTTAATTCTCAGTCACTTAAATATACTCCCAGTCAGATTTATAAGTCATTAAACAGTATCTCTACAATATCTCACACTATCATGAAACACAGTCTCTCCACAACACCTCATACTATCATGAAACACAATCTCTCCACAACACCTCACACTATCATGAAACAGTTTCTCCACAACACCTAACACTGTATCATGAAACACAAACTCTGCACGACACCTCTCACTCACTCACTAGTTTACAAATATTCATTCACTTGCTCACCCAGGCTCACTCCCCCAATAACTCAGAGACATCATTTTAACAAAATTATTGTCTCCATAAAACTTTCGAGCACTCGAGAGCGTCCCTGCAGCCCTCATTTGAGTCGTGACCAGAGGTTTCGAAATTACTGGTTTATTTACATGCAATAAATTCGAATCAAGTTACTGAAAATTAAATTTCGCTTGGAGAAAACCATTATTACTGGAACGGGATTGCTGACGCAATGTTAGAATAATTAGTTAGTTAGTTAAAGATTAGCCGGTATTCTCCCGGCCCGGGCCTTTTCCAAGTGGTGGCCCGGCCTTGGCTCCCTCTTTAGGGAGTGTCTGAGACCTAAGTCTCCCATGGGAGGAGGCACAAGTACCTCCTCATCTTTGGGACCAACTGTCCCCAGGCCTAGCCACAAGCTAGGCCTCTCTGGTCTGCCATCCCCGCCCCAAGGGAGCAAATGGGAATGACAGTCTTATGAGCTAAAGGCTCGGGCTCAGGCACCTACCCTACCCTAGAAGGGTTAGGCATGGTGTCGATGTTAGAATGATTAGCAGTAGGAATGTTTTATGTAATAAATTCTGGGTTATTTCGTTTACCAGGCTTTTATGAAAGGTTTCCTAAGTCGTGAGTCTCGCATGACGACCCAGCTGGTAGAAATTTTGCTAATTTAGATGAGAGATTTTACCATAGTCGATTTTCTTACATTTTTTTATTCGAAATTTAAATTGATTTCATATTCTCATGCTGCTCTGATTTCTTATTGAAATCTAGTGAATATATGTATACATTACATACATACACACACACACACACACACACACACACACACACACACACACACACACACACACACACACACACACAAGGTGGACAAAGACATGATGTTCCAGGGAGGGGACACAAGAGGACACAATTGGAAGTTGAAGAGTCAGATGAGTCAAAGGAATGTTAGGAAGTATTTCTTTAGTCACAGAGTTGTCAGGCAGTGGAATAGCCTAGAAAGTGACGTAGTGGAGGCGGGAACCATACATAGTTTTAAGACGAGGTTTGATAAAGCTCATGGAGAAGGGAGAGAGAGAGGGCCCAGTAGCAACCAGTGAAGAGGCGGGGCCAGGAGCTAAGACTCGACCCCTGTAACCACAAATAGGTGAGTACACACACACACACACACACACACACACACACACACACACACACACACACACACACACACACACAGAAGGTGGAGAACTCACAAGAAATGATCAGGAGGTATGTGAGGAGCTAAACAGAAGATTTAAGGAAGTTTTTACAGTAGAGACAGGAAGGGCTGTGGGAAGACAGCACAGAAGGGAACATCAAGAGGGAATATACCAACAAGTGTTGGATGACATACGAACAACCGAGGAGGAGGTGCAGAAGCTAAGTGACCTTGATACCTCAAAGGCGATGGGACCGGACATCTCCCCATGGGTCCTTAGAGAAGGAGCAGAGATGCTGTGCGTGCCCCTAACCACAATCTTCAACACATCCCTTGAAACTGGGCAACTACCTGAGAAATGGAAGACAGCAAATGTAGTCCCCATATTTAAGAAAGGAAACAGAAATGAGGCACTAAACTACAGACCTGTGTCTCTGACATGTATTGTGTGCAAAGTCAAGGAGAAGATTATCAGGAGGAGAGTGGTGGAACACCTGGAACGGAATAAGATTATAAATGAAAATCAGCGTGGGTTCATGGAAGGCAAATCATGTGTCACAAACCTCCTGGAGTTTTATGACAAGGTAACAGAAGTAAGACACGAGAGAGAGGGGTGGGTTGATTGCGTTTTCCTAGACTGCAGGAAGGCCTTTGACACAGTTCCCCACAAGAGATTAGTGCAGAAGCTGGAGGATCAGGTGCATATAACA